CCCGACGAATCCCATCTGTCTAATCTGTTGCTAAGGTTGCGCCTGGTTGCCCTTAACACCTGGCACTGCGACCACATTGCCACCTTTGCTCAAGGTGGCGTGGAATCGCAAATCGACTTTGTCCTTACTAAGGAATCTACAGCAGGAGGCAAGGCCAAGCGATCTGCTCCCTGGACGGACTGCCCGCTGGGAAGCTGGAAGAAAGGCGGACACTACCCGATCAAAGCTGACATCCCCCTCCAGCATCATTGGTTGCTCCCACCTCATAAGGGCAGCATGCGTCGCTATGATTCCTTAGCTCTTCAGGCATCAGTCAGAGAGGACGATGACACAGCCAAGGCACTGCATAGTTGGATAGCCTCCAGAATAGAGCCTGTCAAGACCCCACGGATTGGAATGCACTGCTGCTTGAAGGCGCGGAACGTTTTTTCCCCAAAATCCCAAAAACACGACAGATCCCGCTAGGGTCAGAGACTCGTCGTATGTGGAGGGCCAGGAATTCCCACAGGGTTGACAACACAGCTCCCTCAGCACAGCTGATCGAGTCAAACCAAGCAACGGCACACGATACCTCAGCCGGAAACCGAGGCTGAGCTGGCGCAGGTCGCGCACAGACAAGCTGTGAAGCAAGCCAAGAAAGAAAGAATAGCGAGCTTCATAGCGGAGGTCGACGCGAGCATAGCAGAAGGTGACCAACACATCTCGTTTCAGACCCTTAAAAAGCTGCAGCCTTGGCAGCCAGCGCGTCGGGCTCAGCTCAAGGACGCCGCAGGACATCTCCTGGGCCCAGCGCAGGAGCTTGCTACACTCAGGGAATACGCGAATCAGGTATTTGTGGCTCACCCTCCACTAAGGCCTATGACAGGAGCTTTTTGCAGTCTTGGAGTCATCCAAATTAGCCGCTCACATTCATTCAATCAAGCCCAACAAAGCTGTGCCAGACGGCGCCGCACCTGCGGCTGTATGGAGACTTTGCAGTGATGTTGTCGCACCAGTTCTTTCCCGACACGTAGCGGCTAAACAGGCAGAGGACAGTCTTGAATCAGATCTCATCGACGCAGATCTGTGTCTAATCCCCAAACCGGGCAAACCATCAGACAAGCCAGCAAACTTGAGACCTCTAGGTATCTTGAGACCGGATGCTAAAGGACTGGCTGGGGCGGCCAGAGAGGCGCTCCAACCCCTGACTCTCTCGTTCCTAAAGCACATGCCACAGTTTGCCTATCTCCCAGGTCGTGGGCTATCAGATGCGCTAGAACGAGTCGTGTGTCATCTGCGCTTAGAGCAGGCTCACCCCACGAGACATGCTATTCAGCAAGGCACACAGGTGCCTCCTCTAGTAGGAGGTTTGACCTTTGCTCTAGACCTAAGCCAGGCGTTTGACACAGTCTCTCGCCAAGAGATTATCGGTCTCCTTCAGAGTGAGGGAGCCGATCAGGACACAGTCCACCTCGTTCAAGCTCTGCACGACGGATCCAAATATGTCCTGCACGCCCAGGCTGACTCCACCTCAGTCGAAACAACAGCAGGCATAAAACAAGGCTGTAAGCTCGCTCCCACGCTATTCTCGTTCCTCACAGGCGACCTTTTCCGGTCTCTGGTCGACTTATTCGGCGCCGAACAGGTTCTGAAGTTCCTGACGGGCTATGCTGACGACCTCACGCTTCATAGGACCATCCGTTCCGAAAAAGATCTCAAAGCTATCCACGCACTTATAGCTGCACTACTAGAGGAGGTCCGAAAACATCGACTCCGGGTCAACACCGGCAAGTGTGTAATATTGGTAAAGCTGGCAGGCAGAGAAGCACAAACTGTCACCAACAAACACAGCTGCTGGATTACCAACCCCAAGGGAGAGCAAGTCCGAGGATGGCGCATCGGGCCCAATAAGTCCTTCCCTGCTTTCCAGTGGGTATCCTCCAGCAAGTACCTAGGCGTTATGATCTCCTATAACCACTTCGAGCTGCAGACTTTGCATTTTCGGATAGGGGAGGCAAAGCAAAAGCTGCATCAAGTTCGCCAATTCGTCTACAACCGCAGGTATGCAAGCACCATGTCACGCCTCAAGGTGTGGCAGAGTACCGTCTTGAGCACCTTGACGACTGGCTTATCAGACGTAGGTCTAAGCGAAGAATCGGCCAAACAGCTTCGCAGCTGGCACGCCTACAAGGTACGATCAGTGCTTAACTTACCGGCTCACACTACACGTATCACCACCAAGGATCTTTTCCAGCTCTACAGTATCCAGGACCCTGTCCAAGCACTGCAGTCTAAGCTAAAGAAACGACTTCGCAAACTAGAGCGACGATCAGTGCGAAGCCCGGACATCACGACAGACCCCTCAGCTCTGCAGGTCATTCGCGACAAGCTGTCCTTCCTGTCACAACTTCCTGAACCAGCGGATCACCCGGTCACCTCGTACGAGTGCACGCTTTGCGATGCCTCCTTTGAGACGTCAAATGGATTACACTTGCATAAGTCGAGGGTTCATCCGGCCAGTATCGATCGCTTTGTGCCTTCAAGCTTCGATAGAAAACTCCACGCAGTGGATGGGATGCCGCAATGCGCGGCATGTAAGCGCAAATTCCATCAATGGAAAGGCCTACGTGACCACTTGTTGTCGGGAGCATGTCCGGAGCCTCAGAAGCTTCGTTCATTATACGAGACTGACAAACAGTCCAGTCATCCTGAGATCAAGACACTCTCCCAGCTGCGACAGGACATAGCTCTGCTCCCACAACACCGCATTGCGGAGCTCTCGAGGACTGTGGACGCTAAGGTTCTCAATCATCGATGCCTAACGTGTGATTTCTGGACTTTTGACCACGCAAAAGTCAAATCACATTTTCGACAGGCGCATCCGAAGGACTGGTGACTGGTCACGCCTGCACAGGCGAGCCGTCAATATCTGTCAGGGCTACTCGCCTCAGCTAGCCAAAGGCCACCCATGCTCCTTTTGCGGCTACAAGGTCTATTACCGCAGACTGCACCCGGAGCAATGCCCGGTGCTCTATCAGGTCAGCACGCAGTGGCTGCGAGGACAACCTGAAACAGAAGTTGATCCTGTTGTCCCGCCCCCCAGGCCTCAAACAAAATCGCTGGCCCACTTTTTTCGACCTAGGGCGAATGGCACAGCCTCAAACTCGTCGAGCGCAGCTCGTCATCCTACCACAGACTCGAATCAAGAGCCGGAGTACCAGGTTCCTATGAACACAGAGCCACAGTCCGCAGGCACGCACAAACGGGCCTTGACTAACACGTCAAACTCCTGGTACGCTGATGCTCTCTTCCAGGCCTTGCATCAGATCTCGAGCTTTGGGTACGATCTAGGCGCCTTCCAACCAGTCCTAATCCATCTTGGGGACGAGACGGCCCCCAGACTTCTGAACTTATTCGGATTGTTTGAATTTCGCCATGCCATTTCTGGCTGGCGACTGGATGGCAGACAACACGATGTTTCAGAATTTCTCCTCCACCTGCAGAACAAGCCCATGGGATCCCTTCAGCGTACTCAGTGGCAGGGTCGCACCGAGGGAATAGTAGAAGAATCGGACGCGGGCGTAAGCCCTCTTCTCCTCCCTCTTCCGACGGGAACTCTTTTTCTCCAAGCTTGCTTAAGACTCTGGGAATCTCAAACTTTTACTCGCGCGTTGGTATGGTCCCCAGAACTTTTAGCGGTTGTGATCTGTCGATGGCAGGACGGGGTCAAGAATACCCAACCGTGCGCGTGGACTGGTCGTGCCATGGTGTCATGACTGCCTCGCCTGCCGCTGCCAAAAGTCCGGAGCACAAGCGCTCCCGAAATGGTCCCGAATTCGAGGACGCCCCAGCGATGGACATCTCTGAAGAACCGTCACTAGAATCTCTCTCGCCGGCAGCCAAGGCCGCTGCGATGCCGAGGCAACGAGATCAATCTGGCCGAAAATCCATCCCCCGCCAGAAGGGACCTGGGGTCGGCCAGGTGCCCGGGCAAGGCTCCCAAGCCCGCGCCCAAACGGGCGCCATCCAGGTGCTCAGCCCTGAGGAGCTTACAAAAGCATTCCTGGTGCATGATGATCAGATGAGTCTTCTGCAACACCAGCTGTCTTTGGTGTACAAGCTGCCCCAGGACCACCACCTCTCGAAGGAGCGGTCAGCGTTTTCGAGTTGGAGCGTACAATCGTGTTCTCCCAGGCTTGCTTAAGGAGACCATCTCCCATCCCAACGTCACTCAGTTGCTCAATGCCTTCGTTTACTCCTGCCATCCAGAGCACCACTGGACCTCGCTTGCAGTCCTGGTCGATGTACTCTCTCCTCCACATAAGGATGTTCGCAATGCTGCCTACGGCTCACTGCTCATCCCCATCTCTATATGCGATCAGGGAGGCATATGGATCGAAGATCCTGACGGATGCGACTACCAGGAGATCCCGAACCAGCAGGGGATGACTCGGGGAAGCTGCTTTGACCTCCGCGGCCTCAGCATCTCCTTCAGGGCGGACGCACTGTGGCACGCCACTCTACCGTGGGCTACCTTTAACCGAGTTGTTCTGGTGGCCTACACGGTCAAAGGAACTTCTCGCTTCTCCGCAACGCTGCAACAGCGCCTGCGCGAGCTAGGTTTTCGTCCTCCTTTAGTGAACTTGTACATCCTCCCGGAGGGATGATCGCTTTATTCTACTTTGCGAAAATTTTTCATGTTTGAAAAATTAACATCATGTTTTTTTCCACAAGACTTTCAATTTCACTGTTGCAACGGTTGGCTGTTGAACATGTGATGAATCTATGTCCCTCGCTCGCCTCAAGTGGTGGGAGGGTGGGACAGCAACATAAGTTTGCTGTAGTTTTTGTTGGGGCGGGTCCCGCCATGGAAGGTTCTGCCTTCAGTCTTCTGGCTAAGAGTGTCGGGCATAGAGATGCTGCGCGCTTGATCTGGGACTGCCTCTCGTCTGTCGAGCGCCTCCAACTTCTTCGTACGTGTTGGTACATTCGCTGCAGCTGCTTTTGCGCCCAGCCTTGAAATGAGTGACCAACTGTCAGAGGGAGATGGGGGCAGTGACAGGCCAGTTGGTGGAGAGCAAGAGGAGCTGCTTAGTCCTTTCGAGGCTCACCTTGACAGCTTAGCAAGTCATGATTTTCTGCGTGGTTCGGAAGATGGTCGACAGCAGTCTCCTTTTCGCAGTGCGAGTTTTGACCCTAGTGAACTGGAAGAGGCTCAATGGTATTCGAATGCGAATGTATCTGAGAGGGCAGGCAGCATTCGATCTTTTTCTGCTGCGGCTGCTGACCGCTCGGGGCCTTCGCATTCTTGCGGACCTTCTTTCGCTACAGTAAGTGGAGCTGCATTATCGGCTGGATCCATCAATGTGTCAGCGGCCGTTGCCGCGGCACACCAAAGCCTTCAGGCCCCTGGCATTAAATTTTTCTGGGAAAGTGGTTTTTGGTCTCAGATTTTTGGTGGCAGGGACGACGCTGCAAACTTATATGGGGCAGACTTCAAGAGGCCCGAGGCACCTGTGCTTGGTGAGGCCGAGCTTCAGCCCAGGAAAGTGCCCAGACAGTCTGGGCCGTCAGTTGGAGCGGTGGGCGGCTCCTCCTTCTTGAATGCTGTGCGTGATCGTGAAGTTCTCAGCTGGAAGCAGAAAAGAGATAAGGAGAGGGATGAGGCTCTTTCTCTCTGGGAATCTTTGCTAGTTACCTGGCCTGAAAGGATTACTGTGATCGGCCAGATTTTGGTACTCGAACCACAGGTCCGCAGAGGTATGGTGGAAGACCTCTTGGGAGGCAAGGCACCGGCCACTCTGAGGAAGAGGAAGAGGTGTCGCTCAGTTTTGGGGTATGCTTTATTCCTTCGCAACCGGAGGGTCGATTTTCCTGGCAGCGAGGAGTTGTTTTATGCTTACATGTGCATGTTGCGAGAGGAGGGCAAGCCATCGTCTACTCGCAAGTCGCTGCTTGAGGCTATTACTTTTTGCCGATTTGTTTTGGGGATCCCCGAGCTGGCTTCCTTGGGGGAGAGCAAACGCTGCCACGGCTCTGCAAGGGCCCGTGACTTCAAGCCTCGAGTGCAGGCTTCTCCTTTTACCGTGGAGGAGCTCAGCAAGTTGCATCGAATATTGTTTGAGGACCCTGAGCCGTGGAATCAACTCATGGCTGGATCCCTGTTATTTTGTGTGTACTCCCGCGCCCGGTGGGAAGATTTGGAGCATGCTGACCGCCTCATAATCGATAGGGCCGATGATGGCATGGCTGCGTACATCGAAGCATCGGTCGGGGTACATAAGACGATGGGTGCAAAGATTATGAAAGGGCAACTTTTGCCTCTGGTTGCACCGGCTGTTGGGGTGGTAGAGGGCAACTGGGTCGAGCAGTACGTCAAGGTACGCGGCCGCTTGGGTTTGCAGGAACCCCCCCGCAGCCCTGTTATGCCGGCTCCCGACCGACAGGGGATGCCAACGATTAGAAGCTTGGATTCGGATGAGGCTGGGGACTGGGCCCGACTGCTCTTGTTTGGAAGCAAGGAGGTTCGCCCGGAGCGTCGTGTCTCGAGTCATTCTTGCAAGTGCACGTGCATCAGCTTTGCGACGAAGTTCGGGGCTAGCCCTGAGGAATTGCTTTTGCTGGGATATCATACTGGTGACTTTAACGGGCATACGAGAAGCTTCGCATGTGGCCGTTGGGCCGCTGCATAGGAAGCTTACTGATCGTCCAGGTCCGGTGTACACCCGATGCAGGATGTGCGCAAAGATCGCGGAGGCATGATAGGTCAGAAGAAGTTCTTTTGCGGAGTGCGCATGTTCGTTCATGTGGCAGTCATGTACATGTCTTTTTGCTGAAGCTTGTAGCCATGTTCTGTTGTGTGCGAGACGAGGGGCTCGAAAGAAGCCTCAGTGAGGTAGATCGGCATGTCAACCATCATAGAGAGTGAAGCCGCTTTCGAGCGGAGATGTCTGGAGATCAGGGGGGATGGGTCCCTAGTGGCGGGGATGGCAGGGCAGGGAGTGAAGACGTTCAGGTCTTTGGCCTTTGCTCTGGGCACGCCCCAGACCCCGCCGACGGAACTCGCCTTTGCTGATTTGACAAAGAAGGTCTTCGGGTGACGGGGATCCTACAGTGGGTGAGCTTTCATGCATTCGCCAGCTGCATTTCGAAGCATCCACACTTGTCATTCAGGCTTACAGGGACATGGTGAGTCATGAGTCAACGGATGGAGCACCGATGAGGAAGCTCCCGCTGCCTGAGAAGAGAGCCCGTAAAGAGTCTCAGCAGGCGCGTCTGGCAGGTTTGGAGTTGGAAGGAGAGCTGGATCCAGCTTATCAGTTGGTCGATGCTTGCAACCACCAGCTCGAGCACTCTGTCATTTATTGGTTGGCTCCATCTAAGTGTCCTAAGAGAGAGCTTGAAGTCATTGCTGGGTTCAAGGAGAAACCTAGCGTGCTGCAAGTTGAACAGAATACGGTGAAGCTCGGAGGACCCAGCACCACGATCGAGTGCGATGCTTCTGATGCTTTGAGGTGTCAGTGGGCCTGGCAGCGTAGAGGATTGGCGTACGATCAGTGTCGCATGATTTCGTACAACGTTCATCAAAAGTGGGTGCAGAAGCTGCTTGATGCCTATTTTGAAACTTGTTTCATTCGGCTTTATAGCTCAAGCTATGTTTCAAATGCGACGTTGCTTTTGAAACTCGCTTTTCGCGCAACCTTCTTTGAACCTGGGGGGGCAAACAACTGACTTTTAACCTTTTGTTTTGCCGCGAACTCTCGTCCTGATGCGAACCTTGATGTTGATCCTGTTGATGACCTCACGTCCGGCAGTCATTTGTGGATCGAGTTCGCCATCGGGCGAGATTCGAAATTTCCGTAGCCATTTTGGCTCAAGTCATTTGTGGATCGAGTTCGCCATCGGGCGAGATTCGAAATTTTTGTGAGGCCCTCGGAAGGGTCTCATTTCAAGTGCGGGAGAAAGATCTCAGCCTCTTATGTTCGCTGTGAGAACTTGCCGAAAGTTTTGTTTCCAGTATGCAAGCAGTGCTGTCCCGACGTGAAATCGGTCGAGGCGGGCACTGATGCGGGATAGTCTTTTGCTGTCGCAAGGGCGACACAACGAGGGGCGATTTTGTGTGCTTAAAGAGTTGGTTGCTCGCTTTCATGACGGTTCCAGTCTCTTTACAGGAGGGGCGAGTGATTCAAGTTGAACAGTCCATGCTGAGGTCATTGCACATGCTTAGGCCTGGGCTTCTGCCTCCTTTGGAGACTCGGTAGAGTGCTTTGAGGGATCAGATGCGGGGGCAAGTGCTCTTGTGAATGCTCCTTCGGAAATGTGTCTCAAGGCGCCAACTGGCGGAGGCAGCAACATGGCCGCTTCTTACTCAGATAGCCGTAGTGTTTTCGATGCCAGGGTAGACGCATGTGGACTGCCGAAGGAAGATGCTGCGAAGGTCAAAGCGGCGGTGGGTTCACTTCGGCAACTTGCCTTCATATCCAGCTTTACTCCGGGTCAAGCGGATGAGGCCCCACTTATGGCTGCTCTGAAGTCGATGTTGGGCCGTGATGCTGAATTGGCTGTCCAAGCTAGCTTCAGGGCATTGTACCACGAGGCTTATGCTATCGTTACTTCAGAGATGCGCCAAAAGATCGAGAAGAGTGAAGAGCCCACGGCGAGGAGGCTCACCCAGCCCGAGCGTGCCGAGAGGCATGAGAAGCAAGTCGCGAAGCTCGTGGGTGTACTTATCAAGGGCCCTTCGGAGCCCAGCGAAGCACTCGTCGACAAGGCCGTTTCAGCTTATGAGCAAAATGAGCTGAGGTACATCTCTTGGGAGTCTTGCACCTCCCGGGAGCAAGAAGTTGCTTCGGAACGCAAGAAGGATACTCGCTTTACGATCGATGAGCATTCCGGGAAGCTTAAAGTTGAGAATAAAGATGCTGAGGACAAGGCCTCCACTGCTTCGGAGGTCCATGTGCTTCAGGCTTTGCAGAGGCGATCACTTGCCCTGGATCAGGCAAATCTTGTAGAGTACACCCTGATGCAACAGTGGTCGGACCGCCTGTTGCGAGCCAGGATGGACGATCCACCGCCCCAGTACAGCCGTCCGTCTTGGAGCCAGCTTGTGGCTGCAGACAAGAAGCTCTTCAGTGAGCTGAGGGATCTGACGCGAGACGGCGTTCAGTCAGCATGTGGTGGGGCGCGCCCGCTTGACAAGCACCTCCCTGCTGTGATGATGTCGTATGATGTGGTCTGCTTGCTAAAGCCCATGCCTCAGTCGGTCAGCGGGCGGAGTTCCGATGATTCCGGCAAGGAGCGCCCCGCTCCCTACACTCCCAAGGGTCCTAGAAAGGGCGCTGGGAAAGGCAAAGAGGGCAAGGGAAAGGGGCGCATGCCTGCACAGCTTATCGCTTGGGGCTGCACGTCGAGTACCAAGAAAGGAAATCCTTACTGTTATGGGTTTCAGCTTGGCAACTGCACCAATGCTGTGACCAACAATGCCTGTGTGAGAGGCTTGCATGCTTGTGCCATCCCGAAGTGCGGGCAGCACGGGCACGGGGCCTCCGCGTGCCCGAAGAGGAAGCAAGAGTGACGGTGCCAGACGAGCACAACGACGAATGATTCGTCAGAGTCAATCGGTCGTGTGGCCGGTGTTGGCCAGTCAGGAAATGATTCGGATGCCCAAGCCAGTCAGAGCTTGGGACCGGAACACTTCCTCGGCGGATCATCTTTCGAGGCGGATGCATGCGGGCAACCAGCTTCAAGTTCTCCTCAGCACGATAAATTTTCCACAATTCTTCAACAGTGCCTGAGCTTTTTCGACAGCCTCCCGCACGAGTCAGTTGGGACCAAGACCGAATCTCATCGTGACCAGGTTGGGAAGGCTTTTTACAGCGGGATGTATTCTAAGGGTGTCGTAGGGCTGCGGACTTCGGTCCACCGGCACCCCGAGGAGGTGAAAGTTCTGACTTCGTTGATTCGTGCCGTCGAGCCAACGATGCTTTTCTCCAGTTTGGTCGTCACCGAGGATTCTCAGGTTGGTGTCCACAAAGATGCTCAGAACGTCTGCATCCAGAACTTGGTCATCCCGATGACTCGTTTTGGGGGAGGCGAACTGCTTCTAGAGGATCCCAAGGGTTCCTTGGTTCAGAGGGGTGAAATTTCTTTTAGGGCTCGCGCCGTGTCCTTGGATCAGGGACCCATTGCATTCGATGCCCGCTCTGTTAGGCATTCCGTAAACCCTTCTCGCGGTCGGCGCGTTGTCCTGATCGCGTACTGCTTGAAAGGCTCGGACCGCCTTGCAGCAAAAGATTCCCAGTTGCTACGCAGTCTGGGGTTCGCACTGCCGGAGCATGAGCCCGCCGAGGTTCCTCTCCCCGCTTTCACAGTTGGTTTTCCTGATTTTAGGCCCGCTCTAGGGTTTAGTCCCCCCGGCCCTAGTGCACAGTCTAGGGGTTTGTCTTCGATTAAAGCTTGCCCTTGGTTGTGCCTAGAGCTGTTTGCCGAAACTGGCAATATGACTTCTGCTTTGCGGAGCTTCGGGTTCCAAGCCCTTCCCTTGGGGCGCCGTGCAAAGGGGCCTATACACGTGACCCCGCTGGACCTCTCTCGCGCCCTGTCGTGGCAGTACGTGAAGAGGCTTGTACAAGCCGGGGATGTGTTTGTGGTGCATCTTTCCCCACCTGCTCGCGGCCCGTTTGCCGATGCAGTGGCACCACTCGTCGCTGACTTCTGCTGTTGGCTCCGCTCCGAATTTCCTTCTGTGCACTTCTCAGTTGTGTGTCCCGCCTCCTCGGCGCTTTGGAAACAGTCTGGCTTGCTGGATCTTCAGCGGTCTTGCATTCAGGTCTCCTTTACTGCCGCCGACTGCGGTCCCGGGCCACATGAGAACTTTCTCTTGATGTCTTCACTTCCCGAGCTTCGGGTTTTTGAAACTCCGGCCGATGCCTCAAAGATCCCCTCCGGGGGCCCGGTTCGCGCGGCTCCTGTCGCTGCGCCCTCGTTCGTGCATACGAACCACTTTTGTACTAAATTTGCATCTGCCCTCGCCCTGGCCGCCGGTCAACTTGACACTGTACCGACACCAGCCCTTGTTACCAATGCTTCAGCCCGTGCCGCCAATCAGCTCCAGCCGCGTGTTTCAAGGGCCGTCGTGCTGGTCGAGGAATACCATTATCAAGTTACCGTGCCCGCGCCTTCGGGCGCCCTGCCCTCTCTTGACCCTAAAAATTGCCTCGTGGAGGCATTAGGCCCCGTGCCTGCCGGCTCTCGGGTTCTTAGGGTTAATTTTGAGGCGGGTGTAGTTTTCCCTAAGCGCCCTAGACCCGACCGGAAGGTTTCCTCTCAGCTGTCTGACTTGGGAATCGGAAAATTGGTTTCCATCACGTGTGGAGTCTACCGAAGCCCTCTTCAGTTTGCGGAACGAGCTTTGAATGTTGGCCATCCTTGTGACATGTGCAGAGCACTGCCCGATCAAGCTATGGTCGTCCTGGGCCATCTGCTCATCGAGGGTCCTGTTAAGGTCCTCAGACGGAGATTGGATACGATAACCCAGTGGAAAGCTTGGGCCGCCGAACTGGAACCGGCCGAGGCTGAACTGCACAAATCCTTGCCCCCTTCTGTGGCCGAAGTGGTCAAGGGAAAGCGCCTGCTCCTCCTTGATCGCATTGCCAAATCCCTGCAATGGCCTGACACCCGCTTGCACAGGATATGACCAGTGGCTTTAAGATCGTGGGCGAGGAGTTCCCGAGCGGAATTTTCCCCCTTGAGCCTCGACCAGCGACCCTCACGCCTGAGGAGTTACTGGCTCAGTCTCGGTCAACCAAGCCCCTGATCTGGGAACAGGTCAACGATGCTCCGCTGGATGCAAACTCTCGCGAGCTTTTTGAAATCACTGAGGCTGAATACCGCGAGAAGGGATGGCTCGAGCAACCTCGCTCTTGGGAGGAACTTGAGCTCTTGTTCGGGGATTGGCTCCCGGCCAAAAGGTTTGGTGTACGCCAACGCGACAAGTTGCGCCCCATCGACGACTTAGCTGCCAACGGTGCAAACAGCGCATTTGCCGCTTGTGACAAGCTCACCTTGCGTGCCTTCGACGAGCTTGTTTGGTGTGCCACTTACATCATGCGGGTACTTGTGCAAAAAGGAACCGTCCACCTTGTCCTCTCCTGTGGTCGGGTCGGGTGATCTCGGGACCCCTTCACGACTTCTGGAGGATCAAGACCGACCGTGCCCGCCCCTTGTTGAAAACTATCGACTTGAAGGCGGCGTATAAACAGCTACCGCTCCACCCAGAGCATCGCAGGTTTTGTGTGGTCGCACTGAAACATCCGGACAGCGGCCAAGTGCGGGGCTACGCATCAAGAGTCCTGCCCTTCGGGGCCTCGGGGAGCGTGACTTGCTTTAACAGGGTTGCACGCCTGATCCAACGGATTCTTCAGGAAGCCTGGATCTTGAACTGTAACTATTTTGATGATTTTCCGGTGTTGGAGTTATCCGCCCTGTCGGGGAGCGCCGACTCCACTGCTCATTGCATACTTGACCTACTCGGTTTCGAGTGCTCTACCGATAAGGAAGAGCCGTTCAAGAGCAGTGCCGACGTCTTGGGAGTCACGGTAGACCTCTCTTGTGAAGACCTGTCCGAGGTGCGTGTGCGCAACCGGGAGGTAAAGTGCTGCGAGGTGGCGGCCTCTGTCGATGAGGTTCTTGATAGGGGCGCCATCCGGTCCGCGGAAATCGCTTCTCTCTTTGGGAGGATTCAGTTTCTTGAAGGGCAACTCATGGGACGCATGGGGCGACTGGCTTTGTCTGAGCTTCGCTCCCTCGGGACTTCCGGGGGAATCCTCAAGCTCGGGGACTCGGAACGGCATGCCTTCCAGAATCTTCGTGAGCGGTTGCTTCATGGGCCGCCCCGGGCGATCTCCGCTCGCCCACCTGGGGCGAATGTTATTGTGTTTACAGACGGAGCTTGCGAACCGGAGGGTGATAGCATGCTGTGCTCCATCGGTGGGGTGCTGTATGTTGAGAGCTCCGGCAAGTGGGCCACTCGATACTTTGGCTGCCGACTGCCCGATTCGCTCGTTAAGGCTTGGAGTGCTTCTGGGAAGAAACACTTGATAGGGCCTGTTGAATTGTACGCAGTGACCACGGCAAGACTGTTGTGGCGAGAGTATCTTGATTTCGCCAAAGGCATTTTCTTCATCGACCACGCCGGTGTGCACGCCGCGTGCGTCAATGGATCGTCCCACGATCGCCTCTGGCGGCTCATCCTTTTGAAGCTTGAGGAAGCGGATGCCAAACCTATGATCGCCTGGTATGCCCGCGTTCCCAGCCAAAGCAATCCTGCAGACCCTCCGTCTAGGGGGTCCGACCTTTTCCCAGTTTGGGGCACATGCTCGAGGGATCATCCGAAGTGCTGCATATCCGGCGAGCTCTTGAGTTCGTTTGGTGAGACGGGAGTTTGTTGAACGAGCTCAATCCTCGTGAATGATGCTCGATCGGCTGTCTCTCGAGTGTCGGATCTTTCCCGAATCGGCTGTGCCGCCTTTCAAGAAAAAAGAGTGAGTCCGATTGCATGTGCGTTCTACAATGCTGCATTTGTCTGCACATTTATATTCTCGTGCAATATATGTTTGATTGATTGATTTGAGAATGACTCTTTTCAATATTATATTCCTGCGAAAAGTAGCTTTAGCTATAAGCCTATTTTGAAACTTGTTTCATTCGGCTTTATAGCTCAAGCTATGTTTCAAATGCGACGTTGCTTTTGAAACTCGCTTTTCGCACAACCTTCTTTGAACCTGGGGGGGCAAACAACTGACTTTTAACCTTTTGTTTTGCCGCGAACTCTCGTCCTGATGCGAACCTTGATGTTGATCCTGTTGATGACCTCACGTCCGGCAGTCATTTGTGGATCGAGTTCGCCATCGGGCGAGATTCGAAATTTTTGTCCCACCCAACCCACCCGGGAGTTTGTTGAACGAGCTCAATCCTCGTGAATGATGCTCGATCGGCTGTCTCTCGAGTGTCGGATCTTTCCCGAATCGGCTGTGCCGCCTTTCAAGAAAAAAGAGTGAGTCCGATTGCATGTGCGTTCTACAATGCTGCATTTGTCTGCACATTTATATTCTCGTGCAATATATGTTTGATTGATTGATTTGAGAATGACTCTTTTCAATATTATATTCCTGCGAAAAGTAGCTTTAGCTATAATGTCTTTCGATAGTTCCGCCACCGAACTTTGCAGCAGTGACTCTCTCGCAATGTGTGCGGGCAGACAAGGAGATGTTTCTTTTGATGTCGCAGGAGGGCCTTGCATCTTTCAAACAAGACGCTTCGGGGAAACTTCCCTTGGATGCAGTCAGGAGCCGTTTGATGTATGATCAGCGCATCGGTCAGTTTTTGCTCCCTATGCAGAAAACTCAGGTGCAGAGGGTCCCGGGCGTGCCGTCTAAGGATTCTGAGAAGCCGGGACATCCGGATGGTCCTCCACCCAAGGTCCCGAGAGTTGCCACTGAGAAGGCGAAGGCTAAGGCGAAGGCTCGTGGTGGTCCAAAGAACAAGCCGGCGAGTCTTGCGCAGTACGAGACCCGGACCAAGTTTGGTAATGCATGCTGGGGTTTTAATCTGGAGGATGGTTGCAGCAATAAGACTGAGAAGGGTCCGAAGTCAGGTTGGATGAAGTGTGAGAAAGGGCTGCATGTTTGCGCGGCGTGTCACAAGCCGGGGCATTCCGTCCTTACGTGCAAGTCAGCAAAGAAGGAGTGACTAGCTCCTTTGCAGGCTGAGTGTCACTCCAAGCCAGTCGCGTCTTCTGCTGACAGAACAGCTGCCGGGGAAGTGTGCGATGCTCCGCACTGTCGAGAGTCCGTTAAGCGGACTTCGAGCTTGAGTGGTGTTCCCTTGAGCGTGCATGTGAATGCAGTCGGCAGCTGTGCCGATGCCGAATTCCTTCGGGCTAGATTGCAACTTAAACGACGATCCGATTCAATATGTCATGGGAATCCCGTGTGCACTGGCACATCTGGGGTTAGTGCTGAGGCAAGCCGTGCCATTGAGATGGCAGTGCCTGCAACATCGGGTTTAGGGTTTTCTCCTAGGCACCCCCTCGCGAATGCCGATTCGGAGGGCCCCGAGACCCCTTTGGGTTTAGATCCTTCAGGAGCTGTGACTACGAAGACAGTTGCTTCGTCGACCAAGGCGGAGGAGACACCTAACCGACCTGCCTCATCCGAGGCTCTGGCTCGAGAGCTCCTACGCATAACCCGCTTCGATGCTGACAGCTGTCTTCGCTTGTTGGACTTGGTACCTAAGGATAAGTCTTTGAGGACTTCTCAAGCTCAGACCTCAGAGGGTGGAAAGCTTGGTTTCGGCTTTTATGTTCGCGCAGGGGAGGCCTGTGTGTTCAACAGCTGTTCCAGCATGCCGATGGTCTGCCGCTACTTGACATCTCTTGTTCGTGCAGTTGATCCGACGCTCGAGTTTGGAGCCTTGCAGCTTCTTTTTAATGTCCAGTCGGGTTTTCATCTTGACAAGTCCAATGAAAAGGGTTCGCGCAACTTGATCATTCCGTTGACCGATTTCGTTGGCGGCCAGGTATGGACTCGCGATGAATCTGGAGATGCCACTTACGACCATAATGGGGTTAGTCTCAGGGGTCGCTTGATGGATGTTGCATCAGGCCCAGTCAAGCTTGATCCGTCGGTGCACCATGCAGTCATGCCTTGGCAAGGAAATAGGATAGTCCTTATCGCATACATGCCGTCGTTCTCGGAGCGACTTCCCACCGAGAGTCGATCTCTCCTGTCTGAGCTGGGATTTGTTTTCCGCAATCTCAATTCAGGTGCCACTGTCAAGCTCCGTGACATTCGCACGGTCACTCAGGGCCCTCCTGCTCCAGGATCTACGCGGCCCCTGACGGCCGAGGTACCGCTTGTTCTTGAACTGTGCTCTGGGCACGCAGTGTTGTCTCGGGTTGCTGAGAATTTGGGTTTTCAGGCCTTGTCGATTGATAACAATTCTTCCAGGGCTCCTGGAAAACAGATCATGCGCCTTGATCTCGCTGACGCTGATAATATCGATTACCTCTGTGAGCTAGTTGAGTCCGAACGGAGTCGGATTGCTTTGATTTTCATTTCGCTTCCTTCAGGAACTGCAAGTGTTCATCGGGGCAAGCACATTGAAAAGTGGGTTCGCCAAGGTTTCCAGTTGCCTTCTGCTCTTCGGAGTTCAGACTACCCCGATATGTTGCCCGGGCTCTCTGGGTCTGACCGCCGCCGAGTGGAAGAGGCTAACCAACTGTACTTTGAAGTCGGGCGCCTGGTTCAATTTGCTTGTTCCTTAGGACTCCTTGTGGCTCTTGAGAACCCTGACAGCTCGCTCTTTTGGCAAACTTCTTTCTTTCGTAGTATTGAACAAGTTGCCAAGGGCTTTTTGACACGTTTCCATTTGTGCTGTCATGGTGGTGAGCGGCCACGTCTCTTGCGATTATGGGCTTCTCAGGATGTGTTCGCCCCCTTGGAGGCTAGGTGCGATGGCTCGCATCAGCACCTTCCTTGGAAACCCCGTCTAGTGGGACGCCAACTGCGCTTTACTACGGCTGATGAGTCCACTCATCCGACCGCCGACCGCCCTGTGCCATCGGTTGCTGTCTCTGGTGGCGGTGCATTGTGGTTTGCCGCTTCACCTGCCAGAGTCGGCTTCTGGAATCCCACTCAGTCACAAAGCTACCAGGATTGCATTAGGCATTCAGCCACGTGGCAACGCGTTCGGTCCCCTCGTGGCTGAGTTTTCGCATTTTCTTTCATGCTTTTGCCCTTCGTCGAAGCCTCACCTTGCCGATGCCTATTTGGCACAGCTGCCTAAAGGTTCTCGCATGGTCCGTAGGCAGGTTTTGAGGTCGGGGGAATTTTCTCAGGCCGTCGAACATTGCGAGCATTGCATCTTTCTTGAAGTGAATGATCCGAGATCGCACAGCGGTGTGTTGCCATCAGTTGAGCTTTGCAGCATAGGCATCCCTTGCGAGCCGGATGAATTCATAAGAAGGGCCGTAGAAGTGGGTCACCCTCGCAGTCTTGATTTTCACCTGGAGGAGGAAGTCAGTAAGGCCGTACGATCCAACTTTGTGGACGATGCATCGGAGCTGGCTCGCTTTAGGATTTCCTTTGTCAAGAAGTGGAGTGCACGTGCCCAGGAGCTTCAACCAGCTGAGGATAAACTTCATTCCGACATGCCCGATTACTTGTCCGAGGTGCTACGTGGCAAGCGGCTCTTGTTATTTAAAGAGATGATGACAGCCGCGGGCTGCAGTGATGAACACTTGTTCCGGGACATTGCTTCGGGTTTTCGGATTTCAGGGTGGATGCCTGTGACAGGTAATACGGCTCCCAAGGTCCGGGCTCCAAAGATGTCTTCCACCTCTCTTAGGTTGTTGGCCCCGGGTTTAAATAAAACTGTCTTTTCCAAGCTTGCTAGACGACAGGACGAGGAGCTTGAGCAGACAGTTTGGACCGAAACTCAAAAGGAGATTGACGCCTGTTGGGTTTGGGTCGCCACAGAATTCTCAGGCCGTAGCATCACCATGCGCTTTGGCATTCGCCAGGGAGGCAAAGTAAGGTTGATAGACGACTGCACCATCTCTTGCTTGAATCTTACCGTGGGCTTGAGGGAGAGGTTCGAATTGCACACGATAGGCAAGCTTGCCGCAGTTCTTTCCTGTGCTTTAGAATGGGCCCCTGCCGGCCATCTGAATCACTGGGTTGGAAGAAATTATGATCTCAAGTCGGCCTACAAACAGTATGGCATTCATCCAGATGACCGTGATCTGGTTCGCATTGCCGTCAATCGGCCTGGGCAAGATTCGCCGGAGATTCTGGGCTTGAACGCCCTCCCCTTCGGCTCTGTTGCTTCCGTTAGTGCTTTCCTCAGGGTTTCGTATGCCGTTTGGAAAATCGGTATTGTCCTGGCCCGAGTGCTGTGGACTGCATATTTTGATGACTTCACGAATGTTTGTAGGTCTCTCCTGAAGGATAACACTGCTTGGGCCATCGAAAGCTTGTTTGACCTTTTGGGCATCTCTTTTGACAGGTCAGGTCGCAAGGCTGTGGAGCATGCTGCAGTTTTCGGTACGCTTGGTCTGCAAGTAGATTTGTCCCACTCAGCAGAGCGCCGGGTGCTCATTGGTCACACAGAAAAGCGGAAAGATGAACTTGTGGAATCCTTGAATGGCGTAATGGATGCCGGGAGCATTGAGCCTAGATCTTTCGAACGCCTGCGTGGGCGCATGGTCTTCTTTGAAGGTTACAGCTTCGGCCGTGTCAGCAATCAGGCTATGCGCACTTTGGCGCGTGCAAGCAAATCCAGTGTCACTTTCGAGTTGGGCCTGAGGCATAAAGCTGCGCTTCAGGTTCTTCTTGACCGTGTATCTTCGTCAGCTCCTTTGATTGTTCAGCCGCGCATCAGGTCCACTTGGATCCTTTTCACTGACGGAGCTTGTGAGCCAGAGCGACAGTGGGGAGGTATAGGGGGGGTTCTTATCTCCCCGAACGGATATTGTGCAGGATACTTTGGAGAGGAAGTGCCGTCATCCCTTATGCATGATCTTCTCGCTGCTTCGAAGAATCCGATCTTTGAGCTCGAGCTTGCTCCTTTGCTCATCGCGTATGAGCTCTGGGGTAACTTGTTTGAGGGATCACAGCTGGTGTGTTATCTTGATAACGAGGGCGCGCGGCACTCTTGCATCCGTTGCTTTGCTGACTCATCTGAGTCATCGGATTTGTGGGTGCAGAAGATTCTTGAGCTCGAGATGCAGTCTCGAGTGCATGTGTGGTACGGCCGCGTACCCACTTCCTCGAACATTGCCGATGGTCCTTCGCGGCTGACCTTTGGTGCAGTCGAGCACATGTGCAGGTACAGGTCACGTCCTTCGTTGGCCACTCTCCTTTCAAGAAGGGGGTGAGCTCAGGGTATCGTGGCATTCCCCTTTGGAAGAAAAATGAAGGCCTGCCTGTGCGAGATTTTTATATATTATATTTCTTTGAAGAAAGATATCTCGATTATATTTGAGATGATCTTTGTGGAAATATTCGCAATTATAATAATTGCACATGATGTGTTTCGCAACAGAGAATAAGTACATCCTCCCGGAGGGATGATCGCTTTATTCTACTTTGCGAAAATTTTTCATGTTTGAAAAATTAACATCATGTTTTTTTCCACAAGACTTTCAATTTCACTGTTGCAACGGTTGGCTGTTGAACATGTGATGAATCTATGTCCCTCGCTCGCCTCAAGTGGTGGGAGGGTGGGACAGCAACATAAGTTTGCTGTAGTTTTTGTTCCCGCCCAAGCCCGCCCTGAGGTTTTTCTACGAATTATTCTTGAGCCTACCCCTGAGCCGTTGTGAGCTCAGGGTATCGTGGCATTCCCCTTTGGAAGAAAAATGAAGGCCTGCCTGTGCGAGATTTTTATATATTATATTTCTTTGAAGAAAGATATCTCGATTATATTTGAGATGATCTTTGTGGAAGTATTCGCAATTATAATAATTGCACATGATGTGTTTCGCAACAGAGAATAAGGAAGACTAGCCCGTAAGAATGGCACAGCCTCCTGCGCTGAGACACAGTCTCTGATAGCTTCCGCTTGCATCTTGGCGTCACAATACAAAATTCAGGAAGCGCAGCGTGCGCCTGCACAGCCGTGGATGCGTGCATACTGTATTTCTTCAGGTCTTCTTGGCTCTAACCATAGCAAGCCTTTGACCAGAACACTCCGCTGGACTCATGGAGGATGAAATCGTTCAACGGATCTTTCACTACCTGACGCCAATGCTTCTTGGCCTCGACTTCTACCTGCCAATGACAGACCTGGACAGGGTGGCCCTAGCGGAACCGAACGCCCAATCAAGATCCCTGACACAAGGCATTACTGCCAGGGACGGTATGGCAGCGGCTCATGCAGAGCTACAGAAAATGCTCCAGGAGTGCTTCGGGCACTGGCCAACCCTGACTATTACTACTCTTCCTCCCTCGTCAGATCCCGACATGCAGGAAATGCACTTTGTCTACGAAGTGCTGCAGCCGCGCCTCCTCCAGGTTCGTCGACTCGCCACTGTCAACCGCACCTGGCATGGCCAAATGACTAGCATCATATCTGGACAAGCTCGTATCAATACGGTTGAACTTCTGGTGGCCATGTCACGCCTGCGAAAGTCTGGCTCAGTGTCTGTTCGCGAGGGAAAGGACACCTTCACTCTCCTTCTCTCCATGGCCTTCCGCTTGCCGGTGGAGATTCTTTCCTCTCCCCTGGCTCGCACCACTCCTGCGGCCGCCTATCGCCCATCGGACTTCAACGCCTGGCATGCGCACCTCTTCGACATCTACGATGCCCTGCAGTCTGAGAACGCGCCCCAGGACTGATCAGCAGTTGCGGACTAAAGTGTAGCTCTCAGAAGCGCACAGCGCCCAAATGCTGGCACTAGGGCACAGCCCACGGCCGTGTAGCAGGACACCGGATTGTGAGACTGTGGAAAAAGCATATGCCAGCGGAAAGTCTCCCTATCTACATCTGCTCTCATGTCAGCTGGCTCTCAGTATGATGCTTACCTTCCTAGATGGTTTCTCCCTGCGCCATGCTCTTATTCAACTTCTACCTGGGGTGCTCATCCTTGACTTCTACGACGATTCCGCCAACTCCAACCTCTACTGGAATGATCTCGACTTGCTGTATGACGAGGCTCGGGAGGCTCGATCCCGGCTACAAGAGCTCCTTCTCCGATGGGCAAGATCAAGCCTATTCTCGCAGTACTCCGTCATCGGCAACACAATCAAGCTTGATCACCATGGAGTACACGCTCAGCTCGGAATTGTAAATCCGAATCTTCTGCTGGCCATTCGGCTTGCGGCGGTCTGCAGGGCGTGGTATACCGAAATTGCTCGTCGAGTAGAAGGCAAGCCCTGGATTGGGGTGTGGCGAGCATATGTCCACCTTCGCAAGAAAGGCGCAGGGGTCTTCATAGAAGTTCGACCTGACCAAATCGGTATCCGGTATCCTTTCGCGTGAAGCCCTGAGCATTCCCTATGGTCAGGCTGACTCTATTCCGACCTTTGTTCTGCGGAGACCACTTTAGTTCAGATGGCACAGCCTCTCTCCCCATGGTCACAGACCATGTGAACTGAAGTACTTGCGTCGTATCCAAAAAAGTGCAAAGGTCTGAATGAGTCGGCTTACAAATGCGAACTCTCTTGCAGTCTCTTCGGATTAGCAGCCCAGCTAGAGTCTATCCACATGACTGCAGAACTTTGCAACGAATCATGTCGCCGCGCCCTCTCCTTTATCCTTCCTGGCGCTGTCATAGTGGACTTCTACTCAGCAGCTGGACTGGACAGAGAGACGCTGGAGATCGACCCTGCCAATGACGTGCCGCCTAGCACTCTACTCCCCATCCTGCAGCTCAGGGACGAGATCCAGGCGCAAGCTCGCCTCTGGGCCTTCAGCCGCTCCTACGACGGCGTTGCAATCTTCGAACAAAGATACATAGACGTTGACCACGACCGGCAAGGAGCTCATGTCAGGCTCGCGATATTGCATCCAGACTTACTGACGGCCATGTCCATGGCGACCGTCAGCAGAACCTGGTATCGTGCCGTACTCCCCTTGGTCCAGTACAAACCCTTCGTCAACAGTTGGCGCACGGCAAGGGCAGCAATGGCTCTTGAAATTCAAGCCATGGTACAGTCCTTTGCCACACCCCAACGGTACCTCGCAACTGAGGAGATCCTCATCCATATCCAGCATCGCCACCACGTCGCGGTACAGAGGATTCTCAATCCCCTCAGCAGCTTAGGGTATGCTGATGCAGCAAGCAGGGATGACGAGGTTCACTGGGCTCATTCTGACCACAACTAAGGCTATCTCCCCTGAGATTGCTTGAGTCCTTCTACTACAGTCATGTATCTCATGTTAGGAATATGGCACAGCCTCTCACCAGGTGTGGCACAGCCACTCTTTCTCGCTTTAGCGCCAACCGAGTAAGGCTACCTGCCTGCCAGGAGAAAATTTGCAGCACCTGTCTGCAAGCCTAATGGCACCACAACTGCCCTAGCTGCTCCAAAGTAATCTCCCTTCGCATCCTGAGGTCCCGGCGACACGTTACGCCACTTCTATCGCTTGCTCGAGTGCCCTCTGCTGGTTGTTGCTAGTCTGGTAGTCAGGCAGTGAAGCTCCCTGTTTTGCCAGCATGTCATGCTTCATAAGCAATGCTGTTTCTGCACACCGCAGCTGTCAGAGGAAACTGCTAGCACCCGCTGGAAAGAACTGGAATTTTCCTCAATAGGATTCTACTTTAGCCATGACAGCTAGCAGTAGGAGCAAGACGAGCTTCTGAACAGAACAACTTCAGCAGAGAGCACAGCTCACCCTTGGCCGCGTGTCACAGACTCTGGCCCAGCAGCTCTCAAGCTGCAACCATGGACGCCCCTCCCAGTCTGGGGCCGTTTCTGGTGCTTAGCGACAGCACCTTGCAGCATATGCTACGGGGACACACTTATGGAGTGTTCCCCCTGCTGACGGGACGTCCTAAGTTGCCCAGGTGCCGCCCTCAACATCTCGGCAAGCAGCGTCCCCTCCATCATGGAACTACTTCACTGGCAATTTGGGCTTCTTGGGCCGATCCGCTTCAAAGCAGCAGTCCAAAGTCAGGAGGTGGCCTCCATTTTGGAGCATCACCTCAACGGGCAAGTCAACGTCCGCTTCATTCCATTGTCTCGAAGCTTGCGCCCGGAGAAGCAAGTCAATTACGACTACCTGATAGATGGCAGGGTCCAATATGGCTTCGCGGACAAAAACCTGCACAATCAGGAAATCATGGACCTGGCACTCCTGCCTGGAGTAGGAGGCGCGGCGCAACTCTACAACACCAAAAACCTCCACTTTCGACCGGAGGTTGCAGATATCGTCATCCCGGCGCTCGTCACCAGAGCCATCGAGGAAATGCGCACCAGACCGGGTTTACCTATTCTGGTGATTGCAGGATGGAATGCTCGCCAGCAAGACATGCATGTCGAAATGCTGGCAGCCCAGGCACTGTCCCAGTGCCGCACCGTGCGCGACCTCTCTGAAGTAGCCGTGCAGTACGGACATGGGCCCTGGGGCATGCGTTTTCAGTATCTCCCGGAGTGGGAGGCCGCTCCTGTCCCGCCGTTCACGATGAAAAGCGGGAGCCTGCACAAGTTGCGGCCAAGATGTTCGGGGGCTTCACCCGCCAATTTTGTGATGACGGAATTCTCCGGGCCACCCTGGTGCAACTTGCGGGGAAATATGGCTCCAATCTGCTGGACCGCCTCAATCAGCCGGCTCACCGGGCTGATGTCTTCCGCTACGTTTACCACTACCAACACGGCGGCCTCTACGTAGATATTAGATGTGGCTTTGTGGTACCCTGGGAACAGGTGCTACAACTCATGGCAGCAGATTGGAGCACAGCTCACTCAAACAAGGCAGGTGAAGTGGGTCACAGACCCTCCCCACCTGGCCAACTCCCACAGGAGTTCATGGTCATGGCCATAGGAGTCAAAGCAGACCATATCTTTCAGGGCATCATCTACGGCAAGCCCCGACACCCTCTGATGAGGGAGGCCATACAACACGCTTTTAGCCGTCAAGTTCTGACGGCCAAGGCCAATCTGGACTATATGACCTTCTGCAAATTTCTATGGCAGACCTTGGGCCGGGATCTTGGCCATTCCCCCCAGCCTGGCTGGAACGTCTCAGCCAAATTTGGTCCGGTCTACTTGTTCCAGGAGCGATGGGATAGACGCGTGAAGAACAAAACTCACGACAACGACGGCCATTTTTTCGTCTCAGCCAACAACACCACGGTCGCCTACACCAGATGCTGGAAGTGGTCCAAGGGATTTCAAGGAGATCCTACCGCAAAAGAGCGTACGAACCGCATGC